TACAGCCATAGAGAGCGTGTTCGCTTTTTCCACTTTGCTACCTGCTTAGTGATAGAGAAAAGATGGGAGAGATCATGGTCTAGATTTGGATAGTGTGATATTGGCAGAAAGTGGGGGGGGGGGGGGAAACAAACAACAGGTAATAGTTTAAGGGAAAGAAACAGCTACAAAGGAAAAGATAGTAGAGAAACATGGCAACACCAAGGGAGGAGGATGTCTGTCTAGGCTGGATTTTGCTTCCTGTTTCTTGTCTGTTACTAAACTAGCTACCTTGAAAAAGCAGGTTGTCTTTGATGAGTACGTTGTAGTCTGATTCCTCTACCCCTGAGGAAATACATTTCCATGCATTTATTCCCCAACATAGTAATGGAACTTCACAATCTATTTGGATAACTAACCTCGTGCAGAGGTGCCTGTGGTGTTGCAAACCTTCCCCATTTCTGGCTCTTCAGCGTTCTCTTCTGTAGCACAATAAAGAAAAGGAGTTATAAACATTATCTACATTTTTAAAATGATTAAACAAGGCATTCATATGACCCAATACAGCAAAAGCTGCACAAATGCACAGAATTGTACCTGCCAAGCTTGCGCTGGCTGTGATGGAGCTGCTGTTGAAATTGGCCGTGCAGTTCACCTCTGTGCCTTTTGTCACGCTCACCACCTTAACAGTATCATACAACCCCTCTGATGTCAAAATGGGTGCACTCGGTTCATATGCGACTTCGTTAGAGGTCATGTCCAAGATGATGTTCTTCGTATAGACATTCCTTGCCAAACAAGCTGCTTTCCCAGTGCTGTCATCTTTGAGTTTCTTTGATTTCATCAAAATGACTTGTGGGACAGAACTTTTTTGGATGTCTGTGAAAATAGACATTGTTTGGGCATGATTTGATGAAGATCTTTTAGAAATTTGGGTAATGGACTGTGAACATTTCTTTAAACCAAGAACATTTTGTTGCAGTCAATGGGCTATGTGCTAACCTTCGGCTGAGGAGAAGAAAACCTTTTCTTGTCAGCAGAGGAACCAGTGTCCTAAACTCTTTTGAAAAGGCATAAAACCTTTTACGTGAGAGACCAGAGTATCACATCAGCATTTCTGTAAGTGTCTGAAATGGCAAGTTTGCTCAGTCCTCAAATATTACCTTCAAATCAATGTAGACTGATGGCAAAATAACAGAATTTGGCAGTTTCTTCTGGTCTTACATTTACAACTGAAGATTCAGTGGCTGGAAAAACAGATCTTTCTTCAGAATGGTAACTTTGTATTCCATTGTCCCTTTGGAATTGGAAGTGGCCTTAAATTGTTCCAAAACAGACATTTATTCCCATGCAAGATATCCTACAGACCTGTACTAGTATTAGGCAGCACCTAAGCAAACCCCGTACCCTTCTGGAATGAGAGCAAGATGGTTCAGGCATGCAAAATTACATGGGACATTTTTGCACCCCTTTTAAGACCCCTGAAATCATCGTCACAAGTCTTAAGGTGTGCACCTGGCTATTTAGGAAAACAAAGATCAACCCAACAAACTTCCCTGCTGCCCCAGCATTCTTGCTCCCACAGGAAAGCAGGGGGTGACAGCCACCTTTTTTGTACATGATGAAATTCCAGATAAAGACAGGAGGAGCTGAGGCTTTTTAGAACCTCTACGTACCTCATCCACGTTTTCAAAGCACAGCAATTTTGGTAGCCAGTTTTCATTTATCCTAAGTGGCCTTGGGTATGCAGCAGTTGTGAAAACTGAAGCCCAAGGATATTTAACCTCCTTCCTCCTCTGTCTCCATACCAGTGGAATTATTTCCCTGGTGTGGTGCCAGGGTCAAAAATTCACTTCTCATATCAGAGAGTTAAAGATCTGTCTCAAAACCTCTCTCCACTGCCACTGAACTCTGCATTCCTGCCCAAAATGAGGCAGTGAAAACCCACTGGAGGACAGGACACTTCACACCGGGCTCTCAGAGTGCTATCCAGCCTGGGATATGAGGTTCATGGAGTAATAGTGATGTACAGAAGCAGCCCAGTTGTCCCTGTGAAGTCTTCCTAAGCAGATACAAGCTGAGGATTTAGCTTGAAGCCCCGGCCGGAGCGACTGCACTCTAGAGATTATTGCAGCAGAAAATTCTTACAGTGAACCCAAACCATCAGATTCTTTCCCCACCTTAATTTTAACATAGATTTTAGAAATAAAATCCTGTTACTTACTTGGTTCAACCGTGAGCGTGGTACCACTTCCAAACACGAGCTTATGTAAGCCCACACTGGTGATACGTCCGTCAATAACTACCTCTTCCCCATGGCATTTGAAAGTGGTGTAAAAACAGAAGATAAAAAGCCAGCTATTTGTCCTACTTACCCACGTGTGCAACCCCAAAAGGGTATCCAGAGCCACATTTTCTTCCAAACACGGAAAGGGAAAAACAATCATTGAATAGTTCAGTGATTCCAAAAAGCTTGACTGAGCAAAACGTTCCCAAGTTCTTCCTTCTCTTTTCGAAACCCCGTGAGCTCTGTATTCCCAGGAGAAATAGAAATATTGAAATAATGTTATGTATGTCTCCTGAACGATTTCAGTCACCCATGTCCTTTCTTCTCCTAGATATATTGCCTTTTTTCCTTCTCTGGGTATTTGTACAGAGCCCTGTGTTGTTCATACCACCGTGCTACTCCACGTCCCAGACACAGTGATACGTATCATAACAAAAACTACCTCTTCCTTCTTTTTCACTACGCAGATTACAGAGGCAGTCATATGACTTCTCAAGTGGTTTCTGAGCCATATGAAGGAACATGAGATGGCTTTCAAAGAAAGGTTGAAAATAATACCCAAAAGGTTGAATTATAAGTGAAAACATGGGGATTATGTGAGGCATCTGGAAAGCCTCATGGAGTTAAGCTGGACAGAAAGCAGGAAAGAAAAATCAGTACTTTTAGTGCTATCCCAAAGCATCTATGAAGCTGCTTCTGGGCTGCAGGAAGCTGTCCACTTTTTCACCTTGCGTTTGGTTTCAGTGCTCAGGAGCATGAGAAATGTACCTTATCTGGTCTCTTTGAGATGGTGTGTGCTGGTGATTTGGTGCCTTAAAAAGTCTTTGTGCTGTTTTAACCACGATGAGAACGTAGGCAAAATGATTGCTCTTTGTTAAGTAAAAGCACTGCACTCCTGGAAGTGGCTATTAAAGAGTAAAGGAATTGTTGCAGGTTGATCAAATCCTCCCTTGTTCGACACGGTAGGGCACCGTGTTTCCACCTTCAGGAGAAGTGAGTGAGACAGTTTTGTGTGGTGGCTCAGGCTTTTTCAATCACTGTGGTACGTAGTACACACCATGGTAGGCAGTTTTACAAAAACATTTGGTTTTTCTCAGTGGCAGGTGGTGTCTTCTCTTTCCTGTCCTTTGAAGAGCTGGATTTTACTTTCCACCTACGCTGCTCTACTTCTGAACTCTCCAGCACTGATGCAGAGAGGTTGCTATACACTAAAAATAACATTATCAGCATCGCTTTTTCTGGCAGATAGGGTAGTGTTAATCTCTCACTAAAATATTGCCCATACTGGTCAAAAAGAAAGAGTGTTCCCATTGAGTTGTTAGAGCTGCTCTCACTTAAAGGTTTGTCTTCTAAGAAACATCAAGAGAGTTAGGGTGAACTACTTTTCTGCCAGTCATTAACTTTCAGTTTAGTTTCATTCTACACTTTCTAACTCTTCCTGGACATTCAACTATTTATCCTCTCAAGGCCGATTTCATGCTGAATAAAAGTCAGTACATGTTTATGAATGGCTCAGAAGCGATCCTGGTTTAGCTGATGGTGGTTTAAGGGAATCTGTTTGTCTTGCTGTGTTACAGTTCCTTATTTACTCAAGAATTTGATTTTCAATATTTCTTGAGTGCCCTTTTTATAAGGGTCTTGGGAGGTTTTTCATGGTTATGTGCACCACTTTTTCTCAGTTTCTTTGATCCTGTGAACTAGATGATTTGAGTTGGCTTGGGACTTCTGATTCATTTGTATGTGCCTTTAACTGACTTTGAAGGTGGGGAACATTTAGTTGTGATTAACTAAAGTTGTTTTTTTAACTGGTTTTTATCTTACTTTAATGACTTTGATTAATGGCTACCTGGAATTGTGGAGGAGTTTCTGAACCCTCAAATCCAGTTCCAAGACACAAAAGGAAATAGCATTAACTCATCCTGCACACAAATCTGTGTGCCTCCCTGTCGCATTACTCAGTATTTTTATTTGCGTTACTGTTGTTACCAAAGGTATATTTCTCATTTTTAATCACTGTTTTTATTCCTGCTGCTGTATTTTCCAGTGTTAACACAGGCATGTTCATCTGCTGTTCCCTTTATTGTATCAAATTATTTTCTCCTCCTTATTGACTCACTCTTCCAGGAAACTTGCAGCTGACTGATGTGATACTTCCAGTCTCTTGAGCTATTGGCAGGACAAAAAGAAGCTCTAAATACCTCCTGCAAAAGACCTGGGTAGTTCTCCCACACCCTTTCCAGTGAGACTGCATCCTCCTTGTCACTGAGATCTCAGATGCAGTTAAACAGCCTTTTTTCATTCCGGTGGCCACAGAAACACACCTGCCTTCACAGCCTCACACAAACCACACACTTGGATTTGGTTGGTTTAAAAGTTGAGCTCTGCCTTTGGTTTTTCTTTCTCTGTCCTCGTCCACCCCCCAAAAAAAAAGAATTGCAGAAGGTGCTCCAATACTGCCAGTGACGAATTAGAACATTTGGGCTATCGGTGTTCCACAAGATGATACTGAACATAGAATCATAGAATAGTTAGGGCTGGAAAGGACCTTAAGATCATTCAGTTCCAAACCCCTGCCATGGGCAGGGACACCTCACACTAAACCATCTCACCCAAGGCTTCATCCAAACTGGCCTTGAACACCATTCCAGTGCCTCATCACCCTCACAGGAAATTGTGTCCTTCAGTTGTGCTTCAGAGGAAAAAGTCTCCCTTTCCTCTAGAGAAGTGTCCTGTCATAGTGGGAACTGGTGGAAACAGCAAAACTTGTTTCCAAAGGTGAAGAGGTTTCAGACTGTGAGAGGCCTGAGGTTTGGCTTGAAGCATGGGAAGAAAGGTAGCAGAAGCTTAACCCCTATCCTATACAGCTCCAAGGCCCAATCTGGGACCCTGACAGCAGGTATGTGTTAAAGCCCAGGTGGATTTCGTGTCTCTGTGTGAACGGCACAGAAGTAGCGGGCAGAGTCCTGAGGCTGCAAGGCACGCAGGAACAGAGATGACTTGGATTGCGAATTGTCCCAGGATGTTGTGGCTCGACCTTCCACCGCTGCTGCGTACTCTGCAGCACCCAATGACCACGAAAGGGACACCCACTCGAGCCTGCCTCCGGGCGCCTGACGGTACCACCGAAAGGGGTAATCCTCGAAGTTGAGGCCGTATCCGCGGCAGGAGAGGAGCACGGAGTCCCCGGGCGCTCGCAGCCCTCCGCCGGTCTCCTCCAGCCTGAAGCGCGCCCGCACCCCTGTGGATGGAGAGCGCAGGCAGCAGAGCAGGGGGCAACCCCGATCCGAAGCCGTTCGCCCGCTCCCCCCGGCGCCCCACTCCCCGGCACAGAGACCGCCGCCACCCCACTGTCCCCCGGCAAAGCCCCGCCACCACAGCAGTGCCCGCCTGCCCTTTTCGGAGCTGAGCCGCGCCTGATGCCGACACCGGGGCCACGGCACGAAACCTTCCCTCTGCCTTCGGTCTTCCTTCCCCTTCTCTTCCCACCTCTTCCCTTCCCTCTGCTTTCCCTCCGCCAGTCCTGTCCCTCTCCTCTTCCCCAGCCCCGGGCTCGCTGCCCTCCCCGTCGGCCCTCACCTGCCGACCCCAAGGCCAACGCCAAGGCCAGCAGCCACGGGCCCAGCACGGGGACCATCACGGGAGAGCCGGAGAGGAGCCGAGGGGAGTCGGGCTCTGGACCTCTCCTGCCCGCTCCGCCTCCTCGGCCCCTCACCGGGCAGCGCCGCCGCCTCTGCCCGCCCCCAACAGACCCGCCCCGGCCCGGGTGACAGCACAGGGTGTGAGACATGGCCAGAGCAGGTCCTGCTCACCTCTCCCCAGCTCCTCTCTGCCCACACATCCGTTCTGCCCAGGTTTCACACATCTCTGGGCCGCTGACAGCACCCAGACACAATGAGACTCCCCCCGGCTCTGATCCCAGGCACAGCCTGCTCACTGACTTGCCACGGAGACGGGCCGTGACCCCTGCGAACATGCAGGAGGGGACAGCTGAAGAGGAGGAAGCTGATGTTGTTCAGACGCGCCCCAAGTATCTCCCACTGTGGTCCCTGCAGGGAGCAGTAATAGAGCGCGCTGTCCTCCAGCTCCAGCCCAGAGATGAAGAGTGTCCCAGAGCTGTCATCAGCTTGGCAGGAAAACCTCTTGCGAAAAAAAGGGGCTGTGTGGCTATAGGAGCCTCCCCGGCCTTTACTCTGCAGCAAGTACTGCAGGGGTCCACCCGGACGTTGCCGATACCAGGCCACGTAAACATAAGAGGCATTGGAGCTGTAAGTACATCTTAAGGTTCCGGTACTCCCTGCCTGCCACCACACTGCAGACACTGTCGCTTGGATCTCATCACTCTGAAATGCAACTGAAAAAAAACAAAGCAAGGGTATTCAGTTAGTGCTTTGCTCTCACTGACACAAGGCCCACAAAAGGGTCAATTGAAGGGGGCAATCGTTGCCAGACAACGAAGTTGCCGAAGTCCAAGAGCTTTGAGTACCCCAGAGAAGAAGGGGGCCAAGGGAAGAAGGAAAGGCACAGAGACTGGCTGGGTGACAAGGAATATTCTGAAACCCTCCACAGAATTCACTGCATCTGGGACTCAGGAGATGGGAAATGGCAGTGCTGGAAAAGGAGCTCTTGCTGGAAAGCCACGGCCACCATGATGTGCACAGATGGCTCTCCCCTGCACCTCTCTCCCTGGAGCAGGCCTGTGATGCCACAGAACACTACTCCACTCAGCTTGTGCACCCTGGAGGGGCCCCAGTAGCTTTCTGTTAAAGCTCAGCTTGATTTATTGTCTCCGTGTAAACGGCACAGAAGTAGCGAGCAGAGTCCTGAGGCTGCAGGGCATGCAGGGACAGAGATGATTCAAGCTCTGAACTGTCCCGGGAGACGTTAGCTCGACTCTCCATGGACTGCGCAAATTTAGTGACTGAAGAATCAAAGCTGATGATGGACACCCACTCGATTCTGCCTCCGGGCGCCCGACGGTACCACTGAATTTCGTAATCCTCGAAGGTGAAGCCAATTGCCCGACAGGAGAGGAGCACGGAGTCCCCGGGCGCTCGCAGCCCTCCGCCGGTCTCTTCCAGCCTGAGCTGCGCCCACACCCCTGCGGATGCAGAGCGCAGGCAGCCGGGCAGGGCGCAACCACGACCCGGGGCGTTCACCCGCCGGGCCGGCGCCCCCACCCCGACACAGCGACCGCCGCCACCCTCCTCTGTCCCGGCAAAGCCCCGAGCCCAGGGCAATGCCCCGCCTGCCCTCCTCGGGGCTGAGCCGCGCCTGATGCCGACACAGGGGCCGCGACTGCGGGACGAAACCTTCCCTCTGCCTTCCCTTCCCTGCTCTTCCCTCAGTTACTTTCCCTTCTCTCTGCCTTCCCTTCTCCAATCTTGCCCGTCCCCGTTCTTTCCCTGTCCCTCTCCCTTCCCCAGCCCCGCGCCCGCTGCCCTCCCCGACCGGCGCTCACCTGCCGACCCCAAGGCCAAGGCCAGGGCCAGCAGCCACAGCCCCAGCCCGGGCACCAGCATGCGGGAGCCGGAGAGGAGCCGAGCGGAGACGCGCTAGAGCCCGCTCCTGCCGGCCAAGCAGCCTCGGCCCCTCACCGGGGCAGCGCCCACGCCTCTACCCGCCTCCAACAGACCCGCCCCGGACCGGCCCCCCGGTGCCGCGGCCGGAGAAGTGAGGGGGATATTGCGGGAAGGGTGGCGGTGCCCAGGAGGAGCGCTGAGCCCCGACGGAGGCTCCCGGCCCTCGACGTCTGGAGTTACGGTTTTTCTCTTCGCCTGTAGGCCCGAGGAAGGCCGGCTTTCCTGGAAATGGCCAAACAGCTGCCTGCGAATGGGAAGTAGGGAATGAATTCTTGGCTTGTGCGTGCTTTTTCTTAACCTGTTAAACTGTCTTGATCTAAACCTACGAGTTTTCTCTCTTTTACCCTTCCAGTTCTCTCCCCCATCCTGCTCAGGGGACATTTAGCGAGCACCTCTATAGTGCTTAGCTGTCGCGGATCACCCACAGTGGAAGGGGAAAACTCCTACCTGGGAACGGTGCAAAGTACCAGACATGCTGGAGGCTGCTCAGCTGGAAAGGCTCTAAGGCTCCTAGTGGACACCAAGTTGAACATGTCTGCAATGTGACCTTATGGCTTTATTGGGTTTACATGGCAAGGGTTGTGAAGCCGAGCAGGCTGTGCATGTCTCTGCGCAAGAACAGGGCTGCCCCTGTGTCAGACATGGGTGATCAGCCAGCTCAGATTGGTCCATTGCTGGCCAAAGTTAAGCCAACCAGCTAAACTGGCAGTGCCTTTGTGGAAGCATATTTGCAACAGGTAAAAAGTACTGCACAGCAGGGAAAAAACAATCCTGCAGACACCAAGGTCAGTAAACGAGGTTGAGAAGATGCTCCAGGTGACAGAGCACATTCTCCTGCAGCCTGTGAATGGTGAAACATTGTCCCGCCGCAGCCCATGGAGGACCCTGTGCTGCGTAAGCTGGATATACCCTGAAAGAACCCGGTGCACTTAAAGAGCCCAGGGAAGAGCAGGCTTTCAGGAAGGATCTGTGGCCTTTGAGTGGTCCACACTGGAGCAGTCTGTTTCTGAACGACTGTATCCCATGGGGAGGTACCACAATGAAGTTCATAAAGGACTGTATATTGTGGGAGGGAAGTGACAGCACCTCAATCCAAGAGAATTGCTCTAAGCCTCACACCCCCTCCTCGACTATGGCAACTCTCTAAAAATCGGGCTGGGCGCAGCAGGTTTCTGTTAAAGCTCAGCTGCTTTTCCTGATTCCGTGTGTACAGCGCAAAAGTAGCGGGCAGAGTCCTGAGGCTGCAGGGCACGCAGGGACAGATATGCCTCAGACCGGGAATTGTCCCGGGAGACAGTGGCTCGACCTTCCACCGCTGCTGCGTATTCCGCGCTATCCGAGTAGCCTCTCGAGAAGGACACCCACTCGAGTCTGCCTCCGGGCCCCCGACGGTACCACAGAAGCTCATAACTTCCAAAGCGGAAGCCGTATCCGCGGCACGAGAGGAGCACGGAGTCCCCGGGCGCTCGCAGCCCTCCGCCGGCCTCCTCCAGCCTGAGCTGCGCCCACACCCCTGTGGACGGAGAGCGCAGGCAGCCGGGCAGAGCGCAGCCCCGACCCGAGGCCCTCACCCCGACACAGCGACCGCCGCCACCCTCCTCTCCCCGCAAAGCCCAGCGCCCGGGGCAGTGCCCGGGACTGAGTCGCCCCTGATGCCGACACAGGGGCCAACATCGCCGGACGCAACCTACCCTCTGCGTTCCCACTCCTCCTCGTCTTTCTCTCGTTCTCCTCTCCCTCTGCCTTCCCTTCCCACCTCTATTTTCCCTCTGCCTTCCCTTCGCCAAACCTCTTTCCCCATCCCTTCCCTGTCCCTATTCCCCAGTCCTGGGCTCGCTGCCTTCCCCGCCCGGCGCTCACCTGCCAGCCCCAAGACCAAGGCCAGCAGCCACGGCCCTAGTTCGGGCACCATCACGCGGAGCCGAATTGGATCCGAGAGAAGCGGAGAGGGGCACGGGCCCGATCCTGCCCGCCCCGCTGCCTCGGCTTTCTCTAGGCAGCGCTGATGACTCTGCCCGCCCCCAACAGACCCGCCCCACGGTACCGCGGCCCCTTCGCGGCAGTTGAGGGCAGAGGAGAGAAGGGAGCTCCGGGAGGGTCGCAAGTACAGGAGGAGCGCGGCGCCCCTGCAGACGGAGGCTCCCGACCCTCGAGGTTTGGAGTTACCGCTTTTGTCCTCCCCGTAGGCGCGAGGAAGGCCGGTTTTCCTGGCAACGGCCAAACACCTGCCTGCGAATGGCAAGTAGGGAATCAATTCCTTTTCCTTCACCTATTAAACCCTCTTGATCTAAACCTACAGCTTTTCTTTCGCCCTTCCAGTTCTCTCCCCCGTCCTGTTGAGTGGGCATTGAGCGAGTGCCTCTATGGTGCTTAGCTGCCTGTCGGGGCTCACCCACAATGAGAGGGAAGGAACTGTGTCACGTGAAAGAGGGGGAGATTTTCTCAACCTCTGCTGCTCGATCTATCAGTGCCCCAGGAGAGCAGAGACCCTTGTGCCCAACCAGTCTCAAAGCATCCTTAATAAAGTGTTCTGTTAACTCAGTCCGTCATGGGTGCCAGCAGTCTCCTGCAGCGGGTAACATCAGGCGGGCAGACCCACTGAGGTGTCCCCCCGATGCTGCCTGTGCGTTTCCCTGAACCAGCCAGTCGAATCGGCCTCCGATCTAGCAGGACATCCTTGAAGAGTCTCTGTAATGGGACACAGACTGGCTGGGGATATCTTGGCTTTCTTTGGGTGCTAATGGACATAAACACCAGCGGCTGAGAAAATCACTCACGTGACAGCCCTGAAGCAGGTGGAAGAGACTAGAGATCCAGAGCCCCAGAGCCCCATGACAGGAGCTTGGAACTATGGAGAGCCCATTTTGTAACAGGTTTATCCCGAAGGACTGCAGCCCTTGGGAAGAAACCACCCGGGAGCATTTTCTGAAGGCCTGCTGACCACGGGAGGGAGGACGTAAGAATACCCCCAACCAATCGTCCCTGTGCCACCTGGAGAGAGGACGTAAGGAGTGAAGCTAAAGGGGAAGAAGCGAGGATGCATGAGGACAAGGTGGATTTAGTTTTCGCTCTGCTTTGTTCTGCTTCTCACATTTCTGCTTTTATTTTGACATCGATTATGTTTCCTTCACTATGCAAGAAAGGACAGGAATCCCTGTGATGAACAGTGATGGTCCCTCACTCCCTGCCAACAGCCTTGAGCTCTCATCGACGTTGCAGCACTCACACGTCCCACAGCTTTTGCACCTTGGGCAGGCTCAGCAGCTTTCTGTTAAAGCTCAGCTGCTTTTCCTGTCTCTGTGCGAGGAAGTACGGTGCAGAAGTAGCGAGCAGAGTCCTGAGGCTGCAGGGCACGCAGGAACAGATATGCTTCAGACCGGGAATTGTCCCGGGAGACATTAGCTCGACTCTCCACGGACTCCACAAATTTAGTGACTGAAGAATCAAACTTGATGTAGGACACCCACTCGGGTCTGCCTCCGGGTGCCTGGCGGTACCACCGAATGCTATATTCCTCGAACCTAAAGCCGTATCCGCGGCAGGAGAGGAGCACGGAGTCCCCGGACGCTCGCAGCCCTCCGCCGGTCTCCTCCAGCCTGAGCTGCGCCCACACCCCTGTGGATGGAGAGTGCAGGCAGCCGGGCACGGCGCAATCCCGATCCGAGGCCGTTCGCCCGCAGCCCGGCGTCCATACCCCGGCAGAGCGACCGCCGCCACCTTCCTCTATCCCGTCAAATCCCAGCGCCTGGCACAGGGCCCCGCCTGTCCTCCTTTAGCTGAGCCGCTCCAGCGGCCGGCAATAGTGCCACGACGGTGGGAGGAAACCTTTCCTCTGCCTTCCCTCTCCTTCTCTTCGTTCTTTCCCTCCTTTTCCTCTCCCTCTGCTTTCCATCTTTCCGCTTCTCTTCCGTTCACTTCCCTCTTCCCTTCGCCAATCCTCTCTGTCCCCGTCCCTTCCCTGTCCCTCTCCCCTTCTCGCTGCCCTCCCCTCCAGGCGCTCACCTGCCAGCCCCAAGGCCAAGGCCAGCAGCCACGGACCCAGCGCGGGCACCATCATGCGGGAGCCGGAGAGGATCCGAGCGGAGCCGGGCACGGAACGAATCCTGCCTGCCCCGCTGCCTCTGCCCGCCCCCAACAGACCCTCCCCGGCGGTACCGCGGCCCCTTCGCAGAACAAGGAGAGGAGATATCGCGGGGTGGGTGCGGAAATAGGAAGACCGCTGCGTCGCGGGAAAAGGATGCTCCTGGCGCTCGACGTTGCAGCACTCACCCGTCCCACAGCTTTTGCACCCTGGGCAGGCTCAGCATGTTTCTGTTAAAGCTCAGCTGCTTTTCCTGTCTCCGTGTGAATATACTGTGCAGAAGTAGCGAGCAGAGTCCTGAGGCTGCAGGGCACGCAGGAACAGGGATGACACAGACCGGGAATTGTCCCGGGAGACATTAGCTCGACTCTGCACGGACTGCGCAAATTTAGTGACTGAAGAATCAAAGCTGATGTAGGACACCCACTCGAGTGTGCCTCCGGGTGCCTGACGGTACCACCAAACTCCGGTACTGTCGAATCTAACGCCGTATCCGCGGCAGGAGAGGAGCACGGAGTCCCCGGGCGCTCGCAGCCCTCCGCCGGTCTCCTCCAGCCTGGGTTGCGCCCACACCCCTGTGGATGGAGAGCGCAGGCAGCCGGGCAGGGCGCAACCACGACCCGATGCCCTTCACCCGCCGCCCCGGCACTCCCACCCCGACGCAGAGACCGCCGCCACCCTCCTCTGTCCCGGCAATGCCCAGCACCCGGGGACAGGACCCTGCCTGTCCGCTTCGGGGCTGAGTCGCGCCACCTGCCGATAACGGGACCGCGGGTCGAAACCTTCCCTCTGCCTTCCCTTCCCTTGTATTCCTTCTTCCTCTCCACTTTCCTTCTGCCTTCCCTTTTCATCTCTTCCATTCTCCCTTCACTCTGCCTTTTTGCCAATCCTTGTCTCCATCCTTTCCCTGTCCGTCTATTCTTCTCCCTCTGTCCCCTCCTCTCCAGCTCCGCGCTTGCTGCCCTGCCCGACCGGCGCTCACCTGTCGAAGCCAAGGCCAAGGCTAAGGCCAACAGCCACGGACCCAGCGCGGCCACCATCATGCGGGAGCCAGAGCAGAGACGAGCCCGTCTCCTGCCCACCCCGCCGCCTTGACCCCCCTCCAACAGACCCTCCCCGGACCGGGCCACCGGTGCCGCGGCCCCTTTGCAGCAAGACAAGGGGAGGGACGGGGTGGGTAGTACGGCACAGGAAGAGCACGGCCCCCTGGCAAAAGGAGGCTCCCTACCCTCGACGTTTGGCGTTACCGCTTTTCTCCTCCCCCGTAGGCGCGGGGAAGGCCGGCTTTCCTGGAAATGGCCAAACACCTGCCTGCGAATGGGAAGTAGGGAATCAATTCCACAGTTTTCCTTCACCTATTAAACCCTCTTGATCTAAATCTAGAACTTTCTTTTACCCTTCCAGTTCTCTCCCCCGTCCTGCTGAGGGGACATTGAGTGCCTCTATGGTGCTTAGCTGCCTGTCAGGGCTCACCCATAATGGGAGGGGAAGGAACTGTGTCACGTGAAAGGGGGAGATTTTCTCAACCTCTACTGCTCGATCTATCAGTGCCCCAGGAGAGCAGAGACCCTTGTGCCCAACCAGGCTCAAAGCATCCTTAACAAAGTTAACTGTCCTTCATGGGCGCCAGCAGTGTGCAACTGTGCAAGACAGGAATCCCTGTGATGAACAATGAACTCCCTGCCAACAGCCCTGAGCTTTCCCTCATCGATGTTGCGGCACTCACTCGCCCCACAGCTTTTGCACCCTGGACGGGCGCAGCACGTTTCTGTTAAAACTCAGCTGCTTTTCCTGTCTCCGTGTGAGGAAGCACGGTGCAGAAGTAGCGTGCAGAGTCCTGAGGCTGCAGGGCACGCAGGAACAGATATGCTTCAGACCGGGAATTGTCCCGGGAGACAGTGGCTCGACCTTCCACCGCTGCTGCATATGTCGTGGAAGTCGAGGAGGGATTGATGAAAGACACCCACTCGAGTCTACCTCCGGGTGCCTGAAGGTACCACAGAACGAAGTAAGTCCCGAAGTTGAAGCCGTATCCGAGGCAGGAGAGGCGCACGGAGTCCCCGGGCGCTCGCAGCCCTCCGCCGGTCTCCTCCAGCCTGAGCTGCGCCCACACCCCTGTGGATGGAGAGCGCAGGCAGCCGGGCAGGGCGCAACCCCGACCCGAGGCGGTTCCCCGATCCCCGGCGCTCCCGCCCTAGCACAGCGACCGCCATCACCCTCCTCACTCCCAGCAAAGCCCAGCGCTAGGGCCCAGGGATCTGCCTGCCCTCCTCGGGGTTAGCCTCCCCTGGCGCCGATACCGGCACCACGACCACGGACGCAACCTTCCCTCTGCCTTCCCCCTTCCTCTCCTTCACTTTGCCTTCCCCTTTCCTGTCTTCCCTTCGGTAGTCCTGTCCCTGTCTCTTTCTCTTCCCTCTCCCCTTTCCCACCCCCTGGATCGCTGCCCTCCCCGTCTGGCTCTCACCTGCCGGCCCCAATGCCAAGGCCAGGAGCCACGGGCCCAGCGCGGGCGCCATCATGCGGGATCCGAAGAGCAGCTGAGCGAGGACGCGCTCTTGCCCGGTCCTGCCCGCCCCGCCTCCTTGCCGCCCCGTCATGGCAGCACCGACGCCTCTGCCCGCCTCCAACAGATTCGCCCCGGACCGGCCCCCGGTGCCGCGGCCCCTTCGCGCCCGGACAAGGGGTTTGGGGATATCGCAGGGAGGGCCGCGGGGCACAGGAGGAGCGCTTCCCCCGGGCAGACGGCGGCTCCCGGTCCTGATCTCCCACCACCGCTGCAGCTCTGTCCCGGCCCTGCCAAGCCCTGCCGAAGGGGGTCGGGCTCCATCCACCCCAACCCGCCCTGGCCCCGCTCCCATTCGCTGCTCGCGGGGACAAATGAGTGCGGAAACAACCTTCCGCAGCCTTGTCGCCTTGCCCCACACTCCTTTCTGCCGCTGTGAGGTCCCCCTTCCTTCTGCCATTGCAGCCCCTTCGAGCTGCAGTTCATCCAAGGTCTTGCAACTTACTATTCTTTGTTTCGTGCTTGGCCATAAAGCTGTCCTGTGTGTGACCAGTAACTTGGCATTCTGTCTTCCATGCTTTCTACGCAGAGGTGGACAGCTGGAGATGCTGCTAGAGATTTGACGGGGCTGCAGGGATCTGCTGGGGCTCTCAGGAGCTGAATCTCCTTGTCAGCCTTCTCAGGATGGTTACTAATCCCATGGACATCAGGGTCCACGAAGCTAGAACTGCTTCATCTTCAGCTTTCTGCACATTTGCCCTGCCTGTACCCTTGTCACCCCTGCCTCTCATCACACTATTCTTCAGTTAGAGCCCTGTTACCCCCTTGTTACAACTCTAAACCCAAGAGCCGAGTTGAAGGTAGTTGGAATTGCCAGGTCATTTTCACTATGCTTGCTTTAGCTTTTCCAAAGTAGACTTTGTGCTGACTGGGATGTATGTGGGAGGATATCTAACCATATGCAACACAGAGAAGGATATCCTGCATAGTGCTGAAGGCATTAAGGTAAAAGCTGCTTTCCTGTACCTTGGCTACTCTACAAGAGGAGCAAGAGGAGGGCCTGTGGTCCATCAGGTAGCTGTGCCAAGGGCTAGGGCTGGGTTGAGACCTCAGAACACTGTCACCCCAGCAGACTGGGGTGTGCAGTATCAGGTACTGGACAAACCAAGAGCAGGTAAGGACTGATGCTGCAGGTTAAGTCCAGGGAATATCGATCATTTCCTTTAGAAGTGTTGGTTTCTGTGTGAGGAAAGTTGTGTCCCCGCTGATCTGCACAGTCCCATGATCCTGTGTTTCTAAGTCCCTGGTCTGAATACCTCTGCTTAGATGGGGGCCTTTGAGAAAAGTAGGGAGTAATTGGGCTGGGAGATGTTGGAAAGGTTAATGTAAGGAGAGGATCATTTCAGGGACAAAAGCACTGCCAAGGCTGGAAGATGCAGAGGTTCACCCCTCCTATGCTGTTCTGCGCAATGCAGATTTTGCACGAGTGGAAATGTGGCTTAGTTTAATGTGGTACTTCAGAGCGCAGTAATAAATCGCAGTGTCCTCAAAAGAAACATTTGCTATTTCTAAGGGGGCTGTTTTATTTTTGTAGACCACCACAGAGAACTGGCCACTGCGGAACTTGTCATTCCCTGAATCTTTAAATGCTTGTAGGAGAAATTTCAAGGCTTCCCCCGGGAGCTGGCGGTACCAGAAGAAGTTCAGACCGCTGCCGCTGTCCTCGATGATGGACTGGCAGGGCAGAACCACTCGCTGCCCAACTGTGGCTGACACATTGGAGAGGAATTGCTTCGGGGGGTTACCTCCAACAAGACCTGCAAAACAGAAATGTGTCTGCAGAGCAGCTTGCTTCCTTCTCGCTTTGTGTTTAAGGCTGTTTGCTCGCCTTTTTCCGAGGGAAATTTCAGATATCTACTTCCACCACCCCTCTGCATTACAGCCTGACCTCATCTTGTCAGCACATAGCTGTGCACAGCCTACTAAAAACTGTGGGAGACGATAGGAAGCGCATGAATATACTCACCTGTCTGGATTAGCAGGACACATGCTGGCAAAGCCATGGTGAAGATCATTTTTCCCAGCTCCGGAATCCCTGTCCCTCGGAAGATGCTTAACACACTAGAGAGCAAGGCACAATGAAATCGCTGCTTCCTGAAGTGTGCCAGAGTGTGTGTGACAGTCACACCTCTGCTGTGAGGAGGGCAAGAATGAGGCCCATTCGCCTTTGTTTTCGCGGCATAGAGTGGACAGTCTCGGTGCCTTCCTGGGTTTCTGCCCGGAGCTTGGCTCCGGAGCCGCGTCCGGGGAATGCAGCGGGGCACGAAAGGGGGGTCCGATGCCGGTACCGGGCGGAGCAGCAGCGCCCCCTCGCGGGCCCGGGCGCCGCTGTCCGCGCCCCCGACACACGCGCCCGGCCCCGCCCGCGGCGGTTTTTGCTCGGCCGCAGCCCCGGCTCCTCTCTCCGTGCTTCCTGGGCGCAGTAGTACACCGCCGCGTCCCGGAGCCGGGGCCCAGAGAGCCACAGCACGTTGGACCGGCGATCTGCCGCCACCGAGAGCCGCCCCGGCGGGTCCAGCAGCACTTTGGAGCCTTGAACAACGCCCACGAGGAATGCGGGGCCACGGCCCGGGAGCTGACGGTACCAATGGATGAACTCGTAACGCCCTAGGTTGGGGTGTGAGCAGTTGATTTTGATGCCGGTGCCCTCGGTGGTCTCTGCCCACGGGTCCTGCTGCACCTGGGCTCTGCCCACAGCTGCTGCCGACACAGGAGAAGGAAAGGACAAACGTTGTCAAAGATCACTGAGATCCGATTTTCTCACAGAAAGGGTTAGCAAGAGTGGCAGTGAGAGTCAGACCAGATCGGGACACGTGCCCATCAACAGGGATGGAGTGATCCCGGCGTGGGTGGGAAAAATACACATGGAGAGAGAGAGGATGAAAGGTGCATGGGTGGGTGGAGGGAGGGAGAGAAAGGGGACGGGGGAGTTGAGGGTGAAGGACGGAGGGCTGAAATCCGAAGGAGAATAAATGCTGAATGCAGAAAGGGGTGAGAAGATGGAATAAATGCGGCGTGCAGGAAATAAAACTTGTGTCCAAGGCTGTGAAGGGGAGAAATGGGGGACGTGGTGGGGTAGGAAGAGGGTAGGAAGAGGAGACTCGGAGGGTTTGCAAAGGGGACGAGGGGTGTCAGAGAGGCAGGGAGGGGGAAGGAGGCGTGGAACGAGCGGGAGAGGTTGGCGCTGGGCTCCCCGCGGAAGAGCCCGGGCACAAACCGGCCCCGCCACCGCCGCCAGCCCCGCGCACCCAGGAGCACCGCGGCCAGCCCCGCCAGCGCCGCCGCCCGGCACCGCCGCATCCCGCCGCTCCGCCGCCCGCGTCCTCCCTGCCCGCTGCAGCCCCGGCTCCGGGCTCCCGGCTCCTCCTCTCCGCCACCTCCGCCCCTTCTCTCGTCCCCTCCCCGCCGCCAGCTCCGCCCCGGGGCTGGGTCCTGCGTCGGCTTTGCTGGGGGTCTGAGCCGGCCTGAGGGTGCTCAGCGGCTGTGCGCGGGCAGAAGGGGGTCTTCGGGGAGAGGGACTGCCCCCCTCCTCCAGCAAGGACGCCCCATCAGGAACCAGCCTCCACCGCTGCAGGAGATGGAGCAGCTTCTCGGAGCTGTTTCCCAGCGTGGGGGCTGCAAACACCAGCCACGGATTTCCTGCGCAGGGCAGAGAGAAGGCTGAGCTCCTGCCTTCCCTTGCCCCTCTGCAGTCCCAGCACAGTGCCTAGAAGTTCTCTTGTGGCAGAGGGAGTGTGAGGAGTCCTGTGCCCATCGGCATGCAGGGCTCAGGAAGGCCAGGGCCGCTGTGGAATCACAGAAAGCAGGTCAGGAGGGACTTCCAGAGGCTGCTCGGAACAGATATCGTTAGATCGGGTTGCCCAAGGTCACATTCACTCCAGCCTTGAGCAACTCCCAGGACTGACATTCCACAGCCTCCCTGGGAAACGTTTTCTCATCATGTGGAATGACCAAAAACACGCTCTGACCCTGAAAACCTGCTGCTCTGTGCTGCTAATGGACAGAACAGTGGAGAGTGTCCTCACTATGAGCAGGACATTTCCTCCTGATGAGGGGCACACAAGGACACAGACACACAGCTCATGCACATCAGTGTAGAATTATGTACCAATTCTTTTCCAGTATGTACTCAGACATGCATGTGGCACATCCTCATAGACAGGAACCCTTGGGCTTCTTTCCTGCCGAGAATGGCTGGAGCTTCTTCCTGAGAAACTCGAGTGACCCAGACTAATGTCACTGGCCTTCTAAGGATGCATCCAGCACTTGAGCTAAGTCTTCTGCCAGGACTGCTGCATTCCTGACTCAGAAATCCCAAGGCCTTTCATGCCTGTGCTCAGAAGAAGCCTTCATTGGGAAACAGGCATGGCCCAAACCTGGAAATGAAAAGGCAGCAGTGTTGGAAACCAAAGCACAGCCCATATCATTAGCTGCAATGGTTTGCATCAAGATGAGCTTGTCAGATAATTGTTACCTCTGCAAAGGCACCTCTGGTCCTGCGGCAGTGATGGGCAGATATAAAAGGCAGGCCAGGTCCCTGCTCTCTCATCCACTTCTCTGGCCTCCTTCTCCTTGAGAACCAGGTGAGTCTGAAGCCCCTTGTCCTCCTCTTAGAAGCGCGGTCTATCCTCAGTGAAACTCTCAGCTGATGTTAGCCTTATCCTGTGCTGGGGCTTGCAGCGTTGTGCATAGGTGAGAGAAGTGGGGAGAATGTCTGCCTAGAGAAAGGCTGGGAAGTGGCTGAAGGGGCTTTTGGTTTACAAATTCCAAGAGACCCTCCCTGTCCCAGGCTGCTCTATATCGGCAATGGAGACCCTGTGGCACCTGGCGCAGCTTCCAGCTGCCCGCTCCTTAGCGGCCTTGGCTCTTTGCCACAGGAAAGCCAGGCTGCTCCTCATCCACTCTTGTGCTCATCCTCTGCTTGCCCCTGCCCTGTGTCCAGGTGAAGCTCCAGCATCCAGACATGTCCTGCTACAACCCGTGCGTGCCCTGCCAGCCCTGCGGCCCGACCCCGCTGGCCAACAGCTGCAATGAGTGCTGTGTCAGGCAGTGCCAGAGCTCCACTGTTGTCATCGAGCCTCCTGCTGTGGTGGTGACCCTGCCCGGCCCCATCCTCAGCTCCTTCCCTCAGAACACCGTTGTGGGCTCCTCCACCTCCGCTGCCATTGGCAGCATCCTCAGCTGCGGTGGAGTGCCCATCAACTCCGGGTGCTGTGACCTCTCTGGCATTTCTCGACGCTATGGTGGCAGGAGGTACCTCCTCTGATAAACGTGCTGGGAGAGCCCCGGGAGACACCTGCAGGAACTCAGGGCATGGTGCTGGATAGAGGATCGATCTTCTGGATGTTGTTTTCAACACAGCTGAATGAGCTTTCCTTTCTCTCCCTTCTCCACAGCCAAGAACCGCAGACTCTTGGCTTTCCCCAGGGATCCCTGCACTGGTGCCCTCTACTCGCAGTCTTTGTTTCCCTCTTTTAACTTATTAAAGTTCTGCTTCACTGGCAAGCCTGGCCTCCTTGTGGTGCTTCCCCTGTGAGAGCTGCTGTTTCACCCTTCCTTCAATATGCTGTCACAGAGGCACTGTGTTGCTCAGCTTTTGGCAGCAGGCTGTCTTGGAGCCTGCTATTACTGGCTGTTACCTTCTCACAGAAGCCAACCCAGCAGCCCCTTCAGTACCTGTACCTTGCCAGGTAAACCAACACACTATCGTGTGCAGAAACTGGCACAGAGGAACCTTGGCTGCAAGGCAAACTCAGCCACCTCTCGAATAACAGAAGAGGCAGCCGAAAGCTCCCTCTTGCTGCAGGCTGTTCCAGCACTGGTATGCAAAGCACCAGGACGAAAAATGCCAGCACAAAGACGCAGGAATACTCACAGTGTACCCACATCATTTTCAGCTGCTTTCTAAAGTGTTGGTCCTGTGTTTTTTCAAGAGGGTATGTCTAGAGACAGGTTCACGACTACGTCACTTCTCATGTCCTAGTCTCAATGATTGTAAAATAAAAATTCCCTACTGTACGCTGCTGCAAATCTGGCATGTCCAGGACACAGAGTCCCTTGCTGCCATAGGAGCTCATCTCTGTGCCACCACCCCCTGTTTAGGACCTGGGGATAATCAAAGATCCCCCCAAGTCAAACCCTGCCTCCCTGCGTTATTGCACAGCTGGGGCAGCTGCCTGCACCACGGTGTCTTGCCCAGCACAGAGGTACAAGGCACTGTCAGAGAGCTCGACCTCCTGCAGCTTCAGGAGGCTGTATTTCCATGTGGTGTTCAGCAGCGTGCTGAAACGGCCGCTCTGCCTGGGTCCAGCAACTGCCTGATACAAGATGAGCTCTGGGGCTTGGTCTTTCTTTTGCTGGTACCAAGCCAGACCTTGAAAGTAGGATGTCTGGTATGTGCAAGTTGTTTGAAAGGTCTCTCTCTCCTTTACTGTGACTTGTCCTTCTTGCTGGGTGAGTGTGATCTGCCCCATGGTGCCTGCAAGAAAGGAAAGGTCAGCAGCTCTGCAGGGAAAGGCTTCAGGGAGCAAAGAAGGAATGGATACAAACCCAGCTGGTGAACGCTCCCTGCCCCTTGCCCGGCAGGAAAACACTGACGCCTGGGGATGCAAAGAGGAACAGCAATTTTGGGCAAAATGGGACACCCTATTAATGTAAGATAACTGTAAAGTGCCTGGGGCATCTTGGACAAGATCTGCTACCTTGTGTTGGAAAGGGAGAAATGTGGGACTGCAGAGCTGGATTTGATCTGCTATGGTGAAGTTGGATAGGAAGAGATAGGAAGAGAGATGGATTGAAGGGGAGAGAAAAGCAGGAGCAGTAGCATATCTCTCTGTACTAATTTCCAATAGGAATGGCATCTGGAGACAAGTGGTGCAAAGCCAAAAATGAGAGGTGATGCTTCCCAGATTTTTTCTGTTATTCAAGAGTAGTTCTTGGCATGACGCTGATAAAGCAGGCAAGGGTTCCCTGGGGAGAGGAAGAGGCATGTGCTTACAGAAGGGCAGGACTTACCTTGCAGTTGCCCCAAGAAAACAGTGAGGATGAGATATCCGAGTTGCATGCTGAGATCAACCTGCCTGTTTGCTGTCACAAAACCAGCTGCCAGCCCCGAGACGAGAGAGCTGCCGGGAACGGCTCTGTTGGGGCAGCAAAGAGAAGCGGGGAAGCGTTGTTGCTCAGCTGCCTGGGAGCAACGCCTCTCCCGCAGATGCCCCAGGACAGATGAACGCTGCCGTGCAGCAGTGCAGGCTCTCTGGCTCCGGAGCCGCGTGCGGGGGATGCAGCGGGGCACGAAAGGGGGGGCCTCGACGGGTCCGATGCCGGTACCGGGCGGAGCAGCAGCGCCACCTCGCGGGCCCGGGCGCCGCTGTCCGCGCCCCCGACACACGCGCCCGGCCCCGCCCGCGGCGGTTTTTGCTCGGCCGCAGCCCCGGCTCCTCTCTCCGTGCTTCCTGGGCGCAGTAGTACACCGCCGCGTCCCGGAGCCGGGGCCCAGAGAGCCACAGCACGTTGGACCGGCGATCTGCCGCCACCGAGAGCCGCCCCGGCGGGTCCAGCAGCACTTTGGAGCCTTGAACAACGTTCACGAGGAACGCGGGGCCACGGCCCGGGAGCTGACGGTACCAATGGATGAAGTCGTAACGCCCTAGGTTGGGGTGTGAGCAGTTGATTTTGATGCCGGTGCCCTCGGTGGTCTCTGCCCACGGGTCCTGCTGCACCTGGGCTCTGCCCACAGCTGCTGCCGACACAGGAGAAGGAAAGGACAAACGTTGTCAAAGATCACCGAGATCCGATTTTCTCAAAGGGTTGGCAAGAGTGGCAGTGAGACAGAGCCGGACCAGAACAGATGGGGACACGTGAACGTCAACAGAGATGGAGAATAAATGCTTAATGAACAGGGGTTGCGTGGCTGCAGGGTGCAACTGGAATGCAGGAAACCAAAATTGTGCCTCCAGAAGCAAAGGAAGCAGCGAGGGGTTTTAGAGCAGGAAGAGGAGCTTAGAATGGCAGATATAGGGAGAGATGTGTCATAAACTGACGGGATGAATGGATAAAAGGCAGATCAGGAGGGTGTATTACAGGTCAGGACAGAGGGCTGTATTCAGGGCAATAAGCTCTGAATGCACCGATGAAGGAGATGGTGCATGGCAAAGCAGGCGTACATGCAAGCAGGCTCGTAGCGACAGAGGCGGCGGAGAAATAGGGCGAGTAGGAAAAGGGGACTCGGAGGGTTTGCAAAGGGGACGAGGGGTGTCAGAGAGGCAGGGAGGGGGAAGGAGGCGTGGAACGAGCGGGAGAGGTTGGCGCTGGGCTCCCCGCGGAAGAGCCCGGGCACAAACCGGCCCCGCCACCGCCACCGCCGCCAGCCCCGCGCACCCAGGAGCACCGCGGCCAGCCCCGCCAGCGCCGCCGCCCGGCACCGCCGCATCCCGCCGCTCCGCCGCCCGCGTCCTCCCTGCCCGCTGCAGCCCCGGCTCCGGGCTCCCGGCTCCTCCTCTCCGCCACCTCCGCCCCTTCTCTCGTCCCCTCCCCGCCGCCAGCTCCGCCCCGGGGCTGGGTCCTGCGTCGGCTTTGCTGGGGGTCTGAGCCGGCCTGAGGGTGCTCAGCGGCTGTGCGCGGGCAGAAGGGGGTCTCCTGCCAAAGGGGTTCCCCTAATCAGGCAGCACTGTCCTCGCAGCCTGGTACCTCTTGGGAGCACGTGCACAATCTTGTGTTTTGTATAATTAAAAGCTTCAGCTGAAATCTGATTTGTGTAAGACTCTGGAGACGTGAATATTTGCACTGAGGGATTTGACTCTGTGACGCTGTCGGTGGAGGTCCCTGAATATGTCAGATGAATCACCCTGCAAGCTGGTGACTGTCCAGGACATGGACAGGCTCGATGGGCACAAGGGTCTCGTTATTCCTGGGACCATGTTAGGCTGGTGAAATATGAAGGGTTCGAGGACCCCTCTGTCGTGGTTTAAACCCAGTCAGGCAACTTGTTCACTCACTTCCCCCCCTTCTTTCTCTCCCCCTCTCCCCTGGAGGGGTCGGAGAGGAGAATCAATGCAACTCCCACGGGCTAAGAACAGTTTAGTAACTAAGGTATAACACAAATCACAACTGCTACTACCAATAATGATAAATAACAAGGGAAGAGAATACACCGCAGCATCAGCTGACCAATAACTTGCCCCTCCAGCCCAACCAAGCTCTGACCGATGCCTCCTCCAACCCTGCCGTCGCCCAGCCCTTCCGGGTAACTCCGTTACATCCTGGCCATGACGTGCTGTGCTATGGAGTACCTCCTTGGTCAGCTTGGGTCAGGTGTCCTGTCTCTGCTTCCTCCCGGCTTCCTCTCCTCCCTGGCAGAGCATGAGGCTCACAAAGTCCTTGGCCAAACCAAACCATCATTGTTGTCAGCTTTGTTCCCAGGCCGAAAGTCAAACCACAGTGCTGCACCAGCTACCAAGAAGGAGAAAAATTCTACTGCTGAACCCAGGGCACCCCCACCCCTTTAATTTGAAAGTGTTGGAATGCAGGACGAATATGGACAAGAAGGACAAGCACTCCACAATCCTTTAGATATAAACCTTTGACCAAGCCTAAGACCAAGGTTGGCTCCAGGTGCACCCAGCCCCTCTAACATCTGAGGATCAGCTGGAAAGCAAAGGGGTCTTTTCTGAAGCTTGTGACTCAACAGAAGGGTCTCTCTAACACATCTTGTCCACCAGCTTAAGGCGATCACGCGACCCATGACACTGAGGTGCCCCATGCAAACGCTCCCAGGATTGGTGCTAGTGGCAGTGTCCAGAAGGAAGTGGTGCCAAATGCATCTTTGCAGACTCCTTGTAGAACAGCTCACGATGGTGGAGCCCTGTCCAAGATATTTTTTAATTAAAGCACCAGCATGTGTTTAATCTGCCTGAAGGGGTAACAGACATTTCCCTTTCCGTACTGTAGGCTGCTGCAAGTCTTACATGTCCAGGACACACAGACCCTTGCTGCCAGAGGAGCTCATCTGTACGACACCGCTCCCTGTTTAAGAGCTGAGGATGATCATAGACCTCCCCCCTCCAGCTCCCCTTAGTAGAGCATCAGGAGCCCAGGGGCTTGGTCGTAAAGTTCATTTTTATGTTGGTGTCTTGGCTTACTCATTTCGGACACAGAGGTCTGGGGTCTGGCTTCATCTACCTCATGAGTTCAGGTCTCCCTGGAATTTTCTTCCTTTGGTTGAGCAGGGCTGAGTGCAAGCCCCTAGCACCCTGGTTCCCAGCAGGCTCTGCCCTGTGGTCAGGCTCAGCCATGTCCAGAGCCACTGGGCATGGCCCCTGCCAGAAAGAGGATCTCGCTGTGCAGAGTTCTGGGGGCAGGGGAAACATCGCTGGCAGTGGAGAGTCGAGGCACCTTCCCTTCCTGCGTTATTGCACAGCTGGGGCAGCTGCCTGCACCACGGTGTCTTGCCCAGCACAGAGGTACAAGGCACTGTCGGAGAGCTCGACCTCCTGCAGCTTCAGGAGGCTGTATTTCCCTGTGCTGTTCAGCAGCGTGCTGAAACGGCCGCTCTGCCTGGGGCCAGCAACTGCCTGATACAAGATGAGCTGTGGGGCTTGGTCTTTCTTTTGCTGGTACCAAGCCAATCCTCCGAAGTTGGATGTCTGGTATGTGCAAGTTGTTTGAAAGGTCTCTCTCTCCTTTACTGTGACTTGTCCTTCTTGCTGGGTGAGTGTGATCTGCCCCATGGTGCCTGCAAGAAAGGAAAGGTCAGCAGCTCTGCAGGGAAAGGCTTCAGGAAGCAAAGAAGGAATGGATACAAACCCAGCTGGTGAACGCTCCCTGCCCCTTGCCCGGCAGGAAAACACTGATGCCGGGGGATGTAAAGAGGAACAGCAATTTTGGGCAAAATGGGACACCCTATTGTGAGATGAAAAAGTGCCTGGGGCATCTTGGACAAGATCTGCTACCTTGTGTTGGAAAGGGAGAAATGTGGGACTGTAGGGCCGGATGTGATCTCCTATGGTGACAGCAAGTGAATAGGAAGAGAGACACAGCGATGAAGGGGAGAGAAAAGTAGTAGCAGAGGCATGAGATATCCCTCCTCTCTGTCCTCATTTCCAATAGGAATGGCATCTGGAGAGAACGTGCAAAACCACAAATGGGAGGTGATGCTTCCCAGCTTTTTTCCCGTTATTCAGTAGTAGTTCTTGGCATGACGCTGATAAAGCAGGCAAGGGTTCCCTGGGGAGAGGAAGAGGCATGTGCTTACAGAAGGGCAGGACTTACCTTGCAGTTGCCCCAAGAAAACAGTGAGGATGAGATATCCGAGTTGCATGCTGAGATCAACCCGCCTGTTTGCTGTCACAAAACCAGCTGCCAGCCCCGAGACGAGAGAGCTGCCGGGAACGGCTCTGTTGGGGCAGCAAAGAGAAGCGGGGAAGCGTTGTTGCTCAGCTGCCTGGGAGCAACGCCTCTCCCGCAGATGCCCCAGGACAGATGAACGCTGCCGTGCAGCAGTGCAGGCTCTCTGGCTCCGGAGCCGCGTGCGGGGGATGCAGCGGGGCACGAAAGGGGGGGGCCTCGACGGGTCCGATGCCGGTACCGGGCGGAGCAGCAGCGCCCCCTCGCGGGCCCGGGCGCCGCTGTCCGCGCCCCCGACACACGCGCCCGGCCCCGCCCGCGGCGGTTTTTGCTCGGCCGCAGCCCCGGCTCCTCTCTCCGTGCTTCCTGGGCGCAGTAGTACACCGCCGCGTCCCGGAGCCGGGGCCCAGAGAGCCACAGCACGTTGGACCGGCGATCTGCCGCCACCGAGAGCCGCCCCGGCGGGTCCAGCAGCACTTTGGAGCCTTGAAGAGCGCTTACGAGGAACGCGGGGCCACGGCCCGGGAGCTGACGGTACCAATGGATGAAGTCGTAACGCCCTAGGTTGGGGTGTGAGCAGTTGATTTTGATGCCGGTGCCCTCGGTGGTCTCTGCCCACGGGTCCTGCTGCACCTGGGCTCTGCCCACAGCTGCTGCAGACAGGAGAAAGGACAAACGTTGTCAAAGATCACCGAGATTCGGTTTTCTCAGAGAAAGGGTTAGCAAGAGTGGCAGAGCCGAACCAGAACAGATGGGAACACGTGAACGTCAACAGAGATGGAGAATAAAGAATGAACAGGGGTTGCGTCGATGAAGGGTGTAACTGTGGAATGCAGGAAACCAAAATTGTGCCTCCAGAAGCAAAGGAAGCAACGAGGGGTTTCAGAGCAGGAAGAGGAGATTAGAATGGCAGATACAGGGAGAGATGTGTCATAAACTGACGGGATGAATGGATAAAAGGCAGATCAGGAGGGTGTATTACAGGTCAGGACAGAGGGCTGTATTCAGGGCAATAAGCTCTGAATGCAGCCGTGAAGGAGATGGTGCATGGCAAAGCAGGCGTACATGCAAGCAGGCTCGTAGCGACAGAGGCGGCGGAGAAATAGGGCGAGTAGGAAAAGGGGACTCGGAGGGTTTGCAAAGGGGACGAGGGGTGTCAGAGAGGCAGGGAAGGGGAAGGAGGCGTGGAACGAGCGGGAGAGGTTGGCGCTGGGCTCCCCGCGGAAGAGCCCGGGCACAAACCGGCCCCGCCACCGCCGCCAGCCCCGCGCACCCAGGAGCACCGCGGCCAGCCCCGCCAGCGCCGCCGCCCGGCACCGCCGCATCCCGCCGCTCCGCCGCCCGCGTCCTCCCTGCCCGCTGCAGCCCCGGCTCCGGGCTCCCGGCTCCTCCTCTCCGCCACCTCCGCCCCTTCTCTCGTCCCCTCCCCGCCGCCAGCTCCGCCCCGGGGCTGGGTCCTGCGTCGGCTTTGCTGGGGGTCTGAGCCGGCCTGAGGGTGCTCAGCGGCTGTGCGCGGGCAGAAGGGGGTCTCCTGCCAAAGGGGTTCCCCTAATCAGGCAGCACTGTCCTCGCAGCCTGGTACCTCTTGGGAGCACGTGGACATCGCCACCGTCCGGCTTCATGCCTCAGCAAACCATGGCTAGGGTGTGCTTTCGATGGAAATGGTGTAACCCCATAGAAATTAACTGACCACTCTGTGCGTGGTGGGAGGGTTACAGGGAGTTACTAACCTGAATCAAATCGTATAAATATCTGACATTAGGAATGGGAAAGTGGGGAAGACTCCATAGTAGCTCCGGGATCTGCTGAAAATGTCTTTTCCCACATAGGGATACCCGTTGGGTTATAACTCTATCTTCTGCCCTCTACCTACCTCACTCCTGGCTGTGTAGTCAAGCTTGGTTTTGCAGACAGTCCCTATCACTGGCAATCTCTGAACTTTCTCCAGTCACAAACTTTTGTATAATTAAAAGCTTCAGCTGAAATCTGATTTGTGTAAGACTCTGGAGACGTGAATATTTGCACTGAGGGATTTCACTCTGTGACGCTGTCGGTGGAGGCCCCTGAATATGTCAGATGAATCACCCTGCAAGCTGGTGACTGTCCAGGACATGGACAGGCTGGTTGGGCACAAGGGTCTCATCATTCCTGGGACACTGATAGGCTGGTGGAATATAAAGTGTTCAAGGATCCCCCCCTTGTAATTTGTTGGAATGCAGAACGAATATGGACAAGAAGGACAAGCACTCCACAATCCTTTAGATATAAACCTTTGACCAAGTCTAAGACCAAGGTTGGCTCCAGGTGCACCCAGCCCCTCTAACATCTGAGGATCAGCTGGAAAGCAAAGGGGTCTTTTCTGAACCTTGTGACTCAACAGAAGGGTCTCTCTAACACATCTTGTCCACCAGCTTAAGGTGACCACGCGACCCATGACACTGAGGTGCCCCATGCAAACGCTCCCAGGATTGGTGCTAGTGGCAGTGTCCATAAGGAATCGGCTCCTAACGCATCTTTGCAGACTCCTTGTAGAACAGCTCACGATGATGGACCCCTTTCCAATATATTATTTTCTATATTTTTATTTAATAAAGCACCAGCATGTGTTTAATCTGCCTGAATGGGTCACAAAAATTTCCTTACTGTGTCCTGCTGCAAGTCTGGCATGTCCCAGATGTGGAGTCCCTTGCTGCCAGAGGAGCTCATCACTACACCACCACTCTCTTTAGCAGCTGAAGATGATCGTAGATCCTCCCCTCAACCCCTCCCTCCCTGTGTTATTGCACAGCTGAGGCATCTCCCTGCACCACGGTGTCTTGCCCAGCACAGAGGTACAAGGCACTGTCAGAGAGCTCGACCTCCTGCAGCTTCAGGAGGCTGTATTTGCTTGTGGTGTTCAGCAGAGTGGTGAAACGGCCGCTCTGCCTGGGGCCAGCAACTGCCTGATATGAGATGAGCTGCGGGGCTTGGTCTTTCCTTTGCTGGTACCAAAGCAAGGCATCAAAGCTGGCACTCTGGTAAGTGCAGGTGGTCTGGAAAGTGTCTCTCTCCTTTACTGTGACTTGTCCTTCTTGCTGAGTCTGTCCCATTGTTCCTGGAAGAAAAGAGGAGGCAGTGACTGTGCAGGGAAGTCCTCCAAGGTGCAAAAAAGAGTGGCTGAAAAGTGTTGGAGGAGAAGGGTCCCTGTGTAACACAATGTCTTGGGACAGGAGATTAAGACCTCAGCTCAGTGTGGATCTCACAGCACAATAACATCAATTATTCCCCAAAGGGATACAGCTCAGAGGAGAATCTCTCATAGGAGAGCTGTGCTTCCATGCACGTCTTTGGTCTCCACTCTCATGCTGCCTGCAGTCTCCAGGGAACAGCTGCCTGCAGTGCCTGGCCCTCCTGTGCTGGCTTCAGGACACCTCCAGCAGTGTGAGGAGCAGATCAGCAGCGAGAGGCAGAGGGAGATGGAGAGTTGACAAGAAGGGCTCTAAGCTGATCAGGAGAGGAGATGATGCTTCTCTGTCTCTTTTCTCTGTCAGCTGTATCAGCATCTTGAGCAAGAATATGCAAAACCACCTGTGTGAGCTGATGTTTCCAACATTTGCCCATCAAGATCAGCTCCTTGCAAGGAACTGTTGAGGGGGTGAGGATCTTTGGGAAGAAGAGGAATCATCCCGTCAGTCAAAGCCAATGCTTACCCAGCGGTTTCCTCAGGAAGGCAGCAAGGATGAGGTACCCAAGGAGCATGCTAAGCCAAGCTTCCTGCATGTGTGAGAGAGACTCAGGAACCCACACGTCCCCGCCAAGATAGTGGAGCTGTTGGAAATGACTCTACAAAGGGAACAACGAATGATATGGGGAGGGGTAAATGCTGCTGCTGAGCACAGCTGAAATGCCTGTGCTGTGGTCTTGTCTCCTCCAGTAATGACACATCTTGCTTCTGCAGACGCCACCTTCTGCCATTCCTTTGCGAGTCCGCCCTTAGCTGATGCCTGTGTCCTCTCCCACCACCCCCACGCCCTTATCTGACTTGGTCTCTCCTGGATCCTACACTGTGTAAAGCCCCAACCTCTTGGCAGCTCACACCAAGGCTCTCCAGCTCTCTCAGACCTTATGTTCAACAACCCCAAACCCTGCAGACACCGAGTGACCCCCTGCAGTACTGAGTTTTGGTCACAGGAAAGCAGCAGCGAGCCCTCCCAGTCCTGCAAGGCTTCCCATCCAGGGCTTGACTATGCTTTTGTGACTTGAACCCTTGGCTGCGTTGCCATAAAGGCTGCAAAAAGACCTTTTAATTCATCCCTCCCCTCAAAAAAGAAAAACCAAAACCAGGCACAAAATGAGAAAAACTTCCCCAAGCGGCATCTCATTACTTCGGTAACAGCCGTTTACATCGCGGCTAAACCCCTAAAAAATAAAGGGAGCACAGAACAAGTGCAAAACCCGAACAGTCTCAGCCCCCGCAGCCCCTGTTCCGCAGGCTGCGGAGGATGGTGCCACGTCTCTTGCTTGCCCTCTGCTCTTCTTTGACCCTCTTCTATTGCCGTGCTGAGACGGCCGCCCCAGGGCACTCCCTGTCCTCGGTCCCTGCCCACACGCTCTCTCCCCACCCGAGACCCCCCCCGTCCGTGCGTGCTCCAATGCCCCCCTCTTGGGATGCATCCCTCTATAAACAGATGCAGAAAGCCGCCGCCGTGTTCTTCCAAGGCTTCCAATGGCACAGCACACCCAGATGGGTGAAGCAGGTGCCTGTGCTGACCCGCTCCCCACTGTGCATTCAGCAAAGGAAGCTGTGGATGCCGGGGGACAGGATCAGCCAAGCGGGCTCCCGGCGCGGACCCGGCCGGGCTGGAGGGAGAGATGGAAGGAGGGAGGGATGGAAAGAAGGAGGGATGGAAGGAGGCAGGGATGGAGGGAGGGATGGAAGGAAGGAGGGATGGAAGGATGGAAAGAGGGAGGGATGGAAGGAAGGAGGGATGGAAGGAGGCAGGGATGGAAGGAGGGAGGGATGGAAGGAGGCAGGGATGGAAGGATGGAAAGAGGGAGGGATGGAAGGAAGGAGGGATGGAAGGAGGCAGGGATGGAGGGAGGGATGGAAGGAGGCAGGGATGGAAGGAGGGAGGGATGGAAGGATGGAAAGAGGGAGGGAAGGAAGGAGGGAAGAAGGGGGGGATGAAAGGAGGGGGGGATGAAAGGAGGGAGGGATGGAAGAAGGGGGGGATGAAAGGAGGGAGGGATGGAAGAAGGGAGGGATGGAAGAAGGGAGGGATGGAAGGAGGGACGGATGGAAGGAGGGACGGATGGAAGGAGGCAAGGATGGAGGGAGGGATGGAAGAAGGGAGGGATGGAAGGAGGGAGGGATGGAAGGAGGGGGGGATGGAAGGAGGGAGGGATGGAAGGAGGGAGGGATGAAAGGAGGGAGGGGTGGAAGAAGGGAGGGGTGGAAGAAGGGAGGGATGGAAGGAAGGAGGGATGGAAGGAGGGAGGGATGGAAGGAGGGAGGGATGGAAGGAGGGAGGGATGGAAGGAGGGAGGGGTGGAAGGAGGGGGGGATGAAAGGAGGGAGGGGTGGAAGAAGGGAGGGGTGGAAGAAGGGAGGGATGGAAGGAAGGAGGGATGGAAGGAGGGAGGGATGGAAGGATGGAAAGAGGGAAGGGTGGAAGGAGGGAAGGAGGGGGGGATGAAAGGAGGGAGGGATGGAAGAAGGGAGGGATGGAAGGAGGGGGGGATGAAAGGAGGGAGGGGTGGAAGGAGGGATGGATGGAAGGAGGGAGGGGTGGAAGAAGGGAGGGATGGAAGGAAGGAGGGATGGAAGGAGGGAGGGATGCAAGGATGGAAAGAGGGAGGGGTGGAAGGAGGGAAGGAGGGGGGATGAAAGGAGGGAGGGATGGAAGAAGGGAGGGATGGAAGGAGAGGGGGATTAAGGAGGGAGGGCTGGAAGGAGGGAGGCGGTGCGTAGAGCAGCTCCCAGGGCGCATGGGCGAGGGATGCTGCAGGCTGCCGGGACGCGGGCGCCGAGGAGCTGCTCTGCGACCCGCAGCCCCCACGGGTCCGCACTCGGGCTCGGAGCCGCAGGTAACGGTTCCCGGGCGGCAGCGCTGCTCCCGACGCGCGGAGCGGCTCCGTGCCTGCAGAGGACCGGCCCGGCGCCATTACGCAGCCGGGCGGGGCTGGGCCGGGCGCTGATGCTGCCTTCGAGGCGCGGGCCCCGATGGGGTGGGAGCCCGCGGGGCCGCTGGGGTTCACCGGGGGTTTCCGACCCAGGCCTCGGGCTGTGCTTGGCAGAAGCCCTCCGAGAGGCGGCGATGGGGCCGGAAAGGTGCCCGCAGAGCCCGGCCGCGCCTGGGGAAGCAGCGCTGGAAGCGGACGGGGGTGCGGGAGGTGCGGGCCGGGCCGGGCCGTAACCTCGCTCCGTGCCCGTCGCGCCTGCGGCTGGGTAGTGAGGAGGATCGGCCGCGCTTGCCTTGCCGCCGGTGGCCGAGCTCGGTGGAGAGCACGGAAAGGTCTCTGCGGAGCTGGGGAGCGCTGCCTGGCAAGGAGCATCCTTCACTGCCTGTATCGCAGTGACAAGAGAAAACAGCGATAAAAGCATCTAAAGGAATTCCTGGGTGTCGGAAGTAGCCTTATGTTGTAGCATCCTTAGTACCTGTGACCGAGGTTAACACTCCTATTAGCTCTAATGATTTGCATGTAATTGTAGCGTGGTCTGCATCAGAATGCCAGAGGGGTGTAAATGCCTTCGAGGCGTGCTTTTAGGAAGCCCCAGAACAACCTGTCATGGCAGCATCTTTCTGCTCTGTTTCTGTGCTTGTGGTGGTTTATTGGTGCTTTTAGATGTCCATTCTGTTTTCTGGCTTTTGAGACAGTTACTTGGGCCTTCTAAAACTGGCTGTCGTGAGAACAGAATAGGCAAGCTTGTGCTCTCTGCAGCATTGGCTTCACCCAAGATACCATCTGGTTATTAGATAACAGCATTTTTGTGTGCTTATTTGCATAGCAGAGCAGCTGCAGGGCTCTTCCTGATTCAGGGTAAACTGAACACTTGAGAGAAAGATGTACTAGGAATTTTCTAGTTTCACATGCTTGCCATTTTTGTTTTGAGTTTTGTGCTTGAGTTCAGGTATTACCTTTGCTCATTTCAGGGCTGCCTCTGAATCACAGTCCAGAAAGAAGAAACAATCAAGTTGACTGAAGTTGAGCGGTTGTCTCGGGGGATTAAGAACGAGGCCATGCCAGTGCTTTCGGAGGACTCAGGTAACTGATCTGCATGACTGAAACCTTGTGTATGTGTTTAGCACAGGAAATTAATTGGAGTTAATTAAAATAGCATTAAGATAGTTCAAGGAGACTTCTTAGTAACTGCCTGAAAGAACACAAGGAAGGTGCAGTATAAAAGGTGGAAATGAGTAAAGCTAGTTCAGGAAGTGCCTAGTTTTATGACAACTCTGTGGAGCCCCTGGATATATGCAAGTAGGCAGGCTCCTATGGGTAACCTTGGACCTCTCGGTATAACACTGGCTTCTGCGCCTGCTTATTAAAGATCAGCCCTTATGTCTCTGCTGCTTGCTGTGCCTCTTCTTCATGTTTTCTGAATAGGTGTTGTTAAGCTTCGTTAATATTCTTCCTTTCAGCTTCAAAAACCAGGGATTCGGTTTAAGGCTTGCTAGCCAGCTTCTCCAGTGTGCCACCCAGGGTGGGGTCATAGCTGCTGCTGATACTGAGTTTTAAAGCAGGAGTGACTTTGAGTCTCCCGCATCCAAATGCACTCTAAAATTCATGGAGAGAATAGCTAAAAAAGCAGAATTTAGCTGCTTCTTCCTTCCCCCCCTCGCAAACCTAATGATCACTAAGCTGGTTGTGTTATGTCATGTCTGCAATAGGAGATCCTGTGAGCCATGCTGTCTACAAAGCTTCTGTTCTGTGCTCAATTTACATTTAGGATTGCATGAAACTTTGGCCCTTTTGACGTCTCAGCTTAGACCAGATTCAAATCATAAAGAGGAAATGGGATTCCTTAGGGATGTCTTCAGTGAAAAGAGTCTCAACTACCTGATGAAGGTAAAGGTTCACGTATGAGCACGTGTTCCTTAGGTTACTTATTCTCTGTTCCCTTGATTGATCAACTGTTTACGATGCTAAAGCTCTCTGGTTTTTATTTTAGGAACCCTGTGCTGACCAAAGCATGCAAAAGCACAAACATTAAGAACATTCACTAACATTTAACATATCTTATTTGGAAAAAAACCCACAACATTTCTGCCTGGATTGCCACAATGCAGATCCAGTGCCCTGTATCTAAAAAGCAGTGTGAAATGGCTTCGTTTTTAACTTTACACTGCTGAGGTCTGAACAGATTCTCTGGCTGTCTGTGAAACTTAACGTGAGCAAAAAGAAAACTAAAGGACTTCTAAACAAACCAAAATAACCCCAGGAGAGGGGGTTCTGACACTTACCTCAGAAAAATTCTATTCCTTAAGTATCAAACTGTTCCAGTGGAGGTATATTCAGGAAGTTTTGTATCTCTCTGTAGTAATACACTTGAATAATCTTTTCCAGATTCATGAAAAACTCCGTCATTATGAAAGGCAGAGTCCAACTCCTGTTTTACACAGTGCAGCAGGATTAGTTGAAGATGTGAGTAAAAGTTTTTGTCTCCTTATTTTCCTATTATCTAAGCCAGCTTTTCTAACGAATCAAAGCTTTGGATTGTGCTACGTGGGGATGTATTTCTCATCTTCCCCAGATCCTTGGAATCTGTTGGCTAGTTTCACTCATGATTGATCAAGGAAATGAGA